CCGTGGCGTCGCCTACTTCAGAATGCTTTGCTATCTATCTTATTTGATGCGTGCAGGAGAGGAAAAAGAAACGTCTTTAAACGCCAGGAGTGGAAAAAGAGAAACTGTTACTGCCATATGACGGTAATATGGTTATGTGTATATTCATTGTGGCCTGTCATCAATACTCAAATTTGTGGAGAGAACCGCACTGACTGTGCCATAAATCGGGTCCATATTCAGGGCATTGCTTCTAACATTTCCACCCACTCCGACGTAACCCTAAATCACCATGTGAAATTACAACGCCAGCAACTGTCGCAGTGACATACGTTGAAAAATGGAAACTCCGTCAATTTCCATGGCGTGGAGTATACTGCTCTAGTGGGCCCTGATGCGCCGCAGTTGGGCCCAGCCACCAGCCCTCGCCCAGTAGCCGGATGAGGGCGGGGCGGCGGCCGTTCCCCGGCGTGTTGGAATGTCAGTACGTGAGCTGAGCCACCCGACGCCAGCGCCGCCCTCCGCTGAGCCCGGCCGGCCAGCGTCCACGTCCGGCCGGCCTGACCCCGGCGCCCGACCCAGCATCGTCCACCTGACTCCGGCGCCCGACCCAGCATCGTCCACCTGACCGCGGCGCCCGGCCCGTCCACCTGACCTCGGCGCCCGAACCAGCATCGTCCACCTGACCCCGGCGCCCGGCCCGTCCACCTGACCCCGGCGCCCGACCCGTCCACCTGACCTCGGCGCCCGAACCAGCATCGTCCACCTGGCCTCGGCGCCCGACCCAGCATCGTACACCTGACCCCGGCGCCCGACCCAGCATCGTCCACCTGACCCCGGCGCCCGACCCAGCATCGTCCACCTGACCCCGGCGCCCGGCCCATCCACCTGACCCGTTGCCCGACCCGGCTCCGTCCACCTGACCCCGGCGCCTAGCTCGTCCACCTGACCCCGGCGCCCGACCCAGCATCGTCCACCTGACCTCGGCGCCCGACTCGTCCACCTAACCCCGGCGCCCGGCTTGTCCACCTGACCCCGGCGCCCGATCCGGCTCCGTCCACCTGACCCCGGTGCCCAACCCGGCTCCGTCCACCTGACCCCGGCGCCCGGCCCGTCCACCTGACCCCGGCGCCCGGACCGGCTCCGTCCACCTGACACCGGCACCCGGCTCGTCCACCTGACCCCGGCGCCCGGCCCGTCCACCTGACCCCATCGCTCGACCCGGCTCCGTCCACCTGGCCTCGGCGCCCGGTCCGTCCACCTGACCCCGGCGCCCGGCTCTTTCCACATGACCCCGGCACCCGGCCGAGGGTCGGCCGTCTGCGCCCCCAAGCTGGTGGGATGCGACCGACTCTAGTCAGAGCTGACTGGAGTCAGCTTCCGTCTCCACCCCGACACGCTGCCTGATCTTTTATGTGTATCCATTCTGAGACGGCTGCCCACCCCGCGTACCCTGAACCTGTAGCCGCGGCGGATGCCGCAGTCAGGAGGTCGCCAGTCAGCTGGCTCGGCGGCGGTCAGCTGCTGCGGCGCCAGCCTACGTCACGCGGCGGTGCCACCAGCGCCGCGTCCCGAGGGCACGCGGCACCTTGCCACGCTGTGCGGGCAGGGCGGCCGTGCGGCACCCCTCATCGCTGTTGGGAAGTCCTCTCTCCCGTTACGCAGGCGACGGTGCCAGCGGAGCGTGGACGGGGAGCAACAGAGGCCTGCATCCCGCAACAGTCTCAGGCGGCCGCTACCGGTGACGTCAGACACACACACCCTTTCTCCCGATGTCCTCACATGACACACAACGTGGAGCCCTGCTCGCGCTCTTAAGGGTCCAGTCGGAGAGCTGACAGCATGGCCTCTTCCTTGTGCCGTAAAGTCGGGCCCGAAAGCTTTTATCTTCCGAGCCTGGGATATACACCACAAACTTAAACACGAGTGGTGCCAGAAGGCGGTGTGGTAAAGCTACCGGAGAGATCGTCTTCCTTAAAAAGCTTAAAATTGTGGTGATTTTTGACACGTTGGCATGATTGTTGTCCTGCATATCTTGCTGTGGTCTCAACACACGACAGCAAACAAGTGCCACTGAGCGGTACAACACAACACTAGTGGAGTATTACGTGCGTTGCTCATGTGCTCCTGCAATTAATGCATATTTATTGACTTTGGCACGTAAGCACTGTAATGGTGCGTCTATGCAGCAAATTTTGAATTATTTCAGCTTAGTGTTGATCCCCTGGTTTCGAAAAATCATTCATGGAAGGTCGATGAATCAGCTCAGCTGTCGCCTATCTGTAACCAGATTCATCACCAGTAGGGAAACCTACCTATGCGGGAACTATCAACTCATCATTGAGTCTGCCCGGTCGGAAAACTCGTCATTTTACTGTGATGACCTGTGATTGACATCTAAGATGACGTCATGTAAACCGGACAATTCAAGGATTCCCTTGTTTTTCGGCCGCCCGACAGTGTTCTGCTGCCGCGTGGTGTTCACGTCCCGTGTTGGCTGGGGTGTTCTCCAGTAACACTCAGCTGGTCCTCAGCACTCATCTCCGCAGCAGCAGTCTCCTCTCTTTGTGCCCCGCCTTCCACCCCTCTTGGTCCGGCTGCGCCGACAACGCTATTCCCTGAACCGCCCCCACATAGATATTGGTTGAGCCCCGTTTCCACACAGCTCCTCTGGGGACCGCTTACCATACGACTGTTCTCTGCCTCCTGCCTCTCGTACATTTTTTCTACACCCTGCCTCCCGCATGACTCCCCCCCCCCCTCTGCACCCTACCTCCCGCACGTGCCCTCCCTTCCACGCTACACGGCCGACGGCCGGCCTCCCGCTGCGCGTCCGCGGGTACGTTTCCAGGCCGCTAGGTGGCAGCAGTGCGTCGCGACGCAGCCTGACGGGCCGACCTCGGCAGTGTGCTGGCACCTTCCGTAGTGTGGGCAACCGTGTGATCTCCGCTGATGCAGGCATGCACACACCCTGATCGATCGGGCAGAGGGAGGAGCTCGTCACGACCGGAGCGGACACGACCGGAGCTATACGACACTGTCGCTGACAAGTGAGGATCTGATCGCTGTCGCTGGACTGTCGCAGCAGCAGAGCTCTGCTGCTGCGTAACGAATAATGCTGCGGTGCGCCCAGATCGGGCCGTAACATAAATTATTATTGATGCGTGATGAGATCTGCGATGGAGTGAAAGTGATACAGACTGGTTTATCGATGAAGAATAAGCCATTATTCGTCCGATGATATAAAGTTAGAAACTTATGCCCCACTTCAATAGCAGTAAGCTGGTGACGCTGCTAGATTGAAATATACCAGAAATCGGCATTCGTGCATTATTTTCAAATCCGCCTCCACCATTTTTTTGTTTGTTTGTTTGTTGCTAGCTGTTGTCAAAGGCTGCAGCTAATACTCCGGTGAGTATCAGTGAGGTGTGTGAAAAGTGAAGTATAAACAGAGATGGTCTAAACCGTGCCCATGAAGCTGGTGCAGTACAGACACGGACATGCTCCTGCAAGGATGGAGCATTGGGGCCATGAGCACTCTTTCCCGTTAGAGGCTACTTGGGGCCCACGAGAGAAGTCAAAATTCGGGGCCTGTCATTGAAAGCCCCAGAAACATCTTGAGTTCACAAACTTTTGAATATGATTGGACGCATGGCAACGGGAAAGTACCGTATTTGCTAGCACACATGATCCCGTGGCTTAAATTCAGATCACAACCTTGGTTGAGGAGCCCGACTGACCTGGAAGGGGCTCACACCCACCGTGGGGTACCGGAAACGTAAATGACCTCTATTTTAGGAGAGCCACGAATCCACCCGTCTGCATTTTTGTTTGTCTCCAGTGTTAGCTTTTATCGTTTTCACGTCGGTTAGCGCTGACGTTTGTGGACGTGAATTATTTCGCCGAAAACCAATGATGGGATTCAGGACTCGAAAAAATAATTGGTATGACGGACTTCATCCCAAAATTGCCACCACTTATATGTCCTATGTCATGCCACGCATCTGTAGCCTTCTCTACTCTGCAGTGGTCTGTCACAATGGACCAGTAAGTTTGGATGGTTATATCTCGGGGATTTGAGGGCTAATCTACAAGCTCAAATTAAGCGATCATTTTTTGGGCACACGGTAAATACTCATACAGGACCGACTCCAGAGACACATGACGCTGAACGTGAACCAATAAGAACTTCCGCCTCAATCACCACCGTTCTTCACCGGCGTGGAGAATATGGGGAATTGCCTCTGCTACGGTCATCCACTTTCTAACCAACACATCCAATTAAATTGGCCACGTTGTCTGAGGCTCAGCCGTGTGCAGCGCCGGTGCAGGGAGCGCGCCACTCCCGCGCGGTTCCTCAATCCGCGGGTGGCGCGACCCGGAACCGGCCTCCGCCGCGGGGCCACCCGCCACGGGCCTGAACGGAGCGGACCGGACCGGACCACGAACCTTGGCGGAGCGGACTGGACCACGGACGTGAGCAGAGCGGACTGGACCACGTGAGCAGACCGGACCAGACCAGGGGCCTGAGCGGAGCGGACCGGACCACGGACGTGAGCGGAGTGGACCGGACCACGGACGTGAGCAGAGCGGACTGGACCACAGACCTGAGCGGAACGGACCAGAGCGGATCGGACCATGGACGTGAGCGGAGCGGACCAGACCACGGACCTGAGCGGAGCGGACCGAAGCGGACCGGACCACAGACCCGAGCGGGCCGCTGCCAAACTGGCCGCCACCTGAACGGGCCGCCCGCCGTCTCGACGGAGGTCAAACGGGCCCGGTCAGGCGAAAGGTGCACTGCTTTCGGTTGGAACAGACCGAGAGCGCGCGCAAGGGCAGTTTTCCCTGCCTTCCCGGTCGCCTAATTGCTTTCACGCGATGCTTGCCCTCGCCTGACCACAGACGGGGGCAGGTTCTCAGGTATCCCCGCGGAGTGAGTGGACGTGTTTCTCCATTGGCTGACACCGAGGCGCGCGGCGTAATTATCGCTGGTGATGTATCGCTGCAGGCCGGCCAGCCAGCCACGATTGGTCGAGACTCTTGCCAGCCAGCCACGCTCGGTCGAGACTCTTGCCAGCCAGCCACGCTTGGTCGAGACTCTTGGCGAACGGCTCTCCGTTGGTCCGAGAACGCATTTGCAAAGAAGGCACTGTCTGTATGCATGGAGCATTTCAGAACTGCCAGCTTGGTATGTAAACAAGGCTGCATATGCATGTAAACAGTTTTGCATGCTGGTGTTGATTTCGCTGCACGCCCTTCACTGTCAGCCCGAGTAGATGGACTCAACAATACTCCAGCAAGAGTTTATCTTGAACTTCAGAAGAGGTCAGGCGTCTCTTTGGGCCAAATAACGGTACGCGATGTCAAATAGCTTTTAAATACCTTCTTGTCTCATCCTGGTACAAAAAAGATGTCTGACACAACAGGCATACACGGTATAATGCGCATACGCCTAGGGACATCTCAGAATGTCTTTTGTGTCGGAGAAGAGGGGAGGGAGGGTCATTTTCAATTGTGACGTAAATTTTTGCTATGCATTGTCACAAGATTAATGTTGAACATTTTGAAAAAAATGAGTGTCACAACTATTACAACAATGTTTTTGAACACAGTCTGCGTCATTATGGAACGGCGAAGCGCACGGAACCGGATTAGCTCGGCCCGGCGGAGCTAGCCGTGGTCGCCCGCGCCCTCAGATCTGGGTGCCGCGGCGCACCTGGTCCGTGAACATCCACGATCGTACCCCATCCAAGTGTATCGGCTGACAGCGGCGGTAGTTTAAGCTTGGTTGTTCACCAACACAAGCTACGCTTGACTGGACGCTGGAATGCAGGCGTTACATGTATTGTGACCGCGCTTCTGGTGGTCACCATATTTTCTTTGACTTGAGATTCCAAACCCTACGTCACTTAAGCTCCAGTCGTCAATGCGGGCCGAGCTGCAGCCCGTTCGGTCCAGTGATGGATGCGAGCCTACCCCATGGCGTCATTTGTGAACTGAACCTGAATCTATTCCGCACCCTCGGCCGTAATCACTTTGTTTTGGTGACCGGAATGATCATACGCAGAGCTGGGACTAGAACTGCCTGCCGCGCACAACCACATCCTTGCCCACCGCCCAGCCGCTTCCGCCGACATTTCGACCGGACCTCCTGCGTGCGGGCAGGTGTGGCTCGCTGACGTCACTGTGACCTTACGTGACCAGCCGCACTGCCGACACGGCCGCACAGCCACCTTTTTGATCGGGGAGCCATCAAAACTTCCAAGATCGCAACGTTCATTGTTCATATCATCCAAAATTGCATAGCATCCAAAATGTGTCCAATTCTGTGCCCATTTTTTTTTAAAGATTTGATCCGAACCCTTTGAATGAATGGATTTCCGGGATCAGAGCTCACCTTAAGCAGTGCTTGTTGCGCGAGCCCTGACCCGTACCATCCGATCGCGCAATTCCATGTCAACGGCAGAATTTGGTGGCGAAAGCTTAACGTGCCGTAATGCTCGGCACGGTCCGTCCTGCCCTCTGACGTCAACCGACCTTTAGCGCGACGGCTGCCACCGGCCGCAGGCCATACCATACCAATAGCGAGCGCCCTAAAGCGACTCGAACCCACCCCGCCACGGGTGGGTGCATCGGAATGCAGGCGCTCTAACCAACTGAGCCACCGGGACGGACAAAGTTGGCAGAGTTCATGGCATTCAAGCTCGAAACGTCCAAACTCAGAACATCCAATGTTCAAAACATTCAGCGGTCTTGACGTCCAAAGTAAGTCCTGATTCCTGCCGTTAGATAGCACTTCACTTGCGTATTTCTTCCGGCTCCTGCCGCTGGATGACACAGCGATGCCAAGTTTTCCTCTTTTTTCGACAAATGGCTTAATCAACCGTTCAGCCGATGATCACGTGATAGTTCGGTCTCAGCATAGGCTCCGCACCATGAGGGAGCCTATGCCCCACCGGCATCATTTCATTCATAATGCAACGTCACGCCTACGACGGCCCGTCTAAAGACATTGCCTGACAAATCCCTCGATGTCGCTTTCTATGACTCACTGGCGGAGCTATTCGTTCCAAACAGCCTTTGACACCAATTGAAACTCTTTACCTCTGTTTGGTGGGTAGGAATAATAGGTACGCATGCATTTTGGCATGGAGAGTAGGGTATGCACAAGTGGAGAACGGCTTGCTTTTCCCACTTGATTGTGACAATTATCATTCAACTCTGCCAACAGCAGCATGCCAATGTCAAACACATCGCTACAGTAACATATGCGGTAACTTCGTTCGGCCACCTTGGGTAACGCTAGAATATTGTGTGTTGAGCGGTCAGGTGCGACAAGTGAGATTAGTTTCGCTGTTACGCGTACAACTCGCGGGCATCCATGATTTGCAGAGCGGGGCAACTTTTTATCAGCGAGTTCCAGACCCATCGAAAGAACCAGAGCACTGCGAAGAGACTGATAGACCATACAATCGCCAATGCAGTGCTTAGTGTATCAATGAGCTATTAATGTTGGTTTGTCCTGGCACCTTGAACAATTGTTTTAGCTGCTACCAGATATATCCATGCGACTACTCGCTGGTCTTTCCACTGGCTGATGGCCGTGAACCCGCCGGCAGCGACTGCACCCACTACCTTCCCCGATTAGGTCTGCTGCCGGAGCTCACGGCATGGTTGGGGGAAGCAGACGCCTTTGATACACTGAACTGCGTGAAAGCTGTTCATGATGGTTTTGCCGTACGAGAAAGATTCTGAACTCGGTAAACGGGTTGGATCTCAAATGCAAAGGCGATGCCTATACGAAAGGTGCAAAATAAAACCTATCTTACACATCCCTTGTCGTTTTTTTGTAATGTGTGCCTGAAAGGATCCGGTGTCTTGCTTTTTGACAAACATGTCATTTTGCCAACTGGCTGCACACTATCTACAAGAACATGCTGTTCAGAGAGGGTTTTTGCGCTCGACTTCATTTGTAGGGCAATAGACATTCAAGTTGTGGCATAAAATGAAGCATTAAATGATCCAAGAGCATTTTTGATAGAGGTTGGGTGGCCCCACAACATCAGCCGCTGCAAATAGCACCAGACGCCCGGCGCGGTGCGCGCGAGAACGACTGTCGTGAAATAATGCTTCCGAAAGGCTTTCAGTCGGTTTGCGCCATTCAGGGATCACGATGTGGCGTAAATACGACATTTATCATTATAAGAGTATCCTCTGAACGGAATAACAGTTACAGAAACACGAAGAATGAATATTCTGTTTGTACTCTTTCAGTTCCACCACCAGTTTCCAGCGCCAGTTTGCCGTGCCGTAAATGCCGATTTTGTATAATACATTTACGAATTGCCTGGATGAAAGATACGCTAAGATTCTTTAAAACGTGCCAATTGATGTCCTAATTTTTCAGAAGTACTTTTGCAAGATACGTCATCATTTTCGTTTGTACATTGGCCGCCGCTTAGTTTTAGCCGCAGGACCGACACACCGCGGACTGCGAAGACTGCAACACCAGGCGTCTTCTGTTTGGTTGGAAGTCTTGCGAGTGCGCATGCTCCAAATATGTCGCCTAATTTTTCCCGCTTGTCGATTCTTACTGCTGGTTGAGCATTCACAGACGAAGATGGGTTGACCTCGTCGATTCAAATTTGTAACGCTGATTTCAGTGCTCAATGCACGTTCATATACTCTCAATTTCTCGACAAAGCTTCTGAGTTCTATCAGTTTAAGGAGTCCGTTCAGCAACTATAAAATTAACCACGCAAGTGAATTACTCAATGCCGTCAGTTAAAGCCCGCTTCCTTCAGTTTATTGTCTTCGAATTACAAACATAGCTCCATCTTCCGCCAGCTTCTGTTTTCAGTTCTAGTTAAATGAATTAAAAATGAAACGGAAACATATCACTCCTTGGCATTAAGTGGGCCATATCCGGAGATTTTGTTCTGGCGGGGGAGGAGGGCTTTTTCAACCCTGCCTCCTAACCAAATACCCTGTTGCGCCCCTACTCATGGAAAGCATGTCACTAATTCAGCTGACCAAACCTCTTGTTACACCCCTACACATGGATAACATGTCAGCATTTCAGCTGAACGTGTACACGGCGTGGTACCCCATTCAGATAATCACTATTCTGGATTTTAGACATGCGCATTGAAGCTGAGAGTGCTGTCGAGTGTTCAGTGCGCATCCATCTCTGCTGAAAGCGCCCTCCAGGCCACATTCAACTTCCCTGTAAGAAAACGTCTCGCCTGCTCTACGTGGATCCCTATTGGGCCCAGGGGATGCTCATGCGAGTGGAATCCTCTCACCCCACGCAGGTCGCACTGACTCCGGTGTCCTCGGGTCTGACAGGATTGACCTGAATCAGATTTTCTTGGCGAGACCGGATCCCTCTGCGGCACTGCATTTTCCTCAGCCTTATCGCTATAAGTGGTGAGCCGGTCCAGTCGGCCTTGCTGTCCGTGTGGCCCGGACCTGCGGCCCCCGCGCTCGGTCGGCTCCCTCTCGTCACCTGTTCAGGCACGCTGCTCGGCCGGCGGCTTAAGGTCCGCCTGAGCCAGTCACAACCAACCGACCTTTCACTCATGAGAAGGCCTAATGAATGGCGAGGAAGTAAAAAAAAAAGAAAAAAAACGCGACTCACCTCACCCTTGGATGACAAACAGTTGGCTGTTCCATTTCTGTTTGGCTTCCGCTCGGGATCAGCGGACGCTCCCCTGAGGAGAGCGCGCACGTTGTACAGCTGCCGGTGCCCGCCCGGGACACATGCTGATGCACATCTGGCCAGTGCACATCGGCAGAAGCATGGCTTTTTGTCAGCAGTCAGCGTGGTTGAAATTCACAGACTGAACGTTCCCCATTGCCAAAAATAGTTGGCGAACCAGTTTTCCTGAAGTCACCGGTTACCAATGACCTATCGCTGGTATTAAGTATGACCCGTGAACTCTGCCCTTGTTTGGTTCCGCCGAGATCTTAACGATGTACCATACTTAAGCTGGAGCAGACATCTGCTACGGGTATAAGATGTACACGCATACGGCGGTTACCTCCATTGTTGACAATGGAGCTAACAATGGAGCATTAAAGTGGTCCCTGAGCACCTATCACCATTTCTCATATCTCAGCTCGTCGCTGCCCCTGGCGCCTCCTGCGCTCTCTCCAGCCCGCTGTTCCCCGCTGACCGCGCCGAGTGCTGGTACCGTCGAATGAGCCATGACCAATACAAGCCTGCTCTGACCCCAGCCCTGATGACTCCACCCCGGCCCTGACCTGCTCTGATGGCAGCTGTCCGGTGTCCGACGCGAGCCCTGACCCCGGCTCTGACCTGCTCTGATGGCAGCTGTCCGGTGTCCGACGCGAGCCCTGACCCCGGCTCTGACCTGCTGCGGTGGCAGCTGGCGACCTGGCTGCGACAGACCGACCCCTTCCCTCCAGCCCGATCAAGCCAGGCCCAGCACGCCGGTCGGCCCCTAGCTTTCCGTGGAGGCGCCGGGCGCTGGCGCCAGCCGCAAAGCTGTGGCCGGTCAACCGGCAGATAGGCAAGGCCGTGAGCTATGAACGCTGTGGGCGTTTGTTCGGTGTGCGGTAATCAAGTCACAACGACATGGGTTCAAGACATGCTATTTTTGTTTCCCATCACTGTTTCCCAGCACTTCTTAAGTACCAATGCCGCATTCTAAATCTCTCTTTTTGTAATCACTGAATTGTATTGCATTATATAACAGCTGAACAGAATCACGCACCAGGGTGCCAAACGTCGTCCCACCATTGGATATGTAATTTGCGCGCCGCGGCGGAGATGAAGAAACGTTTGCTTTCACGGATGTCCAGGGATGTCGAAGAGTGTAATATGGTGCATACCGCTCACGCGAAGATTTTGCCGACTAGTGGGGCCCATCCATCAATATCCATCGCTTGACTGCGTATGAAAAAAGTGACCTACCACGCCCTTTTGATAGCCTTCGCAAACTGGATTACCTTCCCTTATATCTATCGATCATAAACTTTCGTTAAGTCGCTCCTGTTTTTATGGTTTATTCTGAACATTTTGATTGCATGGGTTACTGGGATCAGAGTTCAAGCTAGGCAGTGCTTGTGAACCCTCACCCAAACATCCGATGTTGACCTTCATTTGAAGAGCAGAAATTCGGTCGAAAGTTCAACGCGCCGAGAACGGCATCGTGCTTTATGCTCATTATAGTTGAAAAAGGCTGCTGATGGCAGCCTCGGATATTTCTCGTCAGAGTAGCGAGAGGGTTCAAGTTTTTGGTTGCTTCCAAATATATAGCTAATGCCATGGCCCTAATGGTAGTTGTTTTCGTCTCGGAGTTCCTGGCCTCGGTGGCCCCGCGGAATCTTCAACCGTGGCTGGTGATAATACATTATCGCTGTTGTGCATTCTGAATGTTTCATGGGGCCGGCAAAAGGAGTGCGTCACGTCACTTAGCATTGCATTTGGCTGCTAGCTGCATGCTTTCTTTCACAACCTTACAAAATATACATGCGAATCTTTGTAATCATGCGAAGCGGCATGATTCGACAGATCCCACTCGGGCAAGCTTGTGACGTCATCTGTGCGATGAGGTAATTCGGGGACGGTGAGATGCGGGCGCGACCTGCAGTTCGCGGGTACGGACCCGCTGATGGTGGGACCAAATCGAGATACGTAGATGAGTGAGTGAAAAGTTGCCGTCATGGGGAAATTTCCGAGCATCTCCACCATCTATGAAAGTTACGACGTCACTCGCTCCTGATTTCATTGTAATTAGTCTTCCAGATTGGAACTGCGCAGATGGTTAACTGGCTGATTGCTGCACTCTGACTTCAAAAGGGGCGGTGATGACTGGGGATGGGGGCGGGGGTGGGGGGGGGGGAATGTCACTTCATGCTTAGTCACGCGCTGTGCTTAACAGGACTCCGCCCGTCCTGACCCGGCGCGGGAATGCTGCAGACAAACATGGACCGCCGAGCGATAGAGCTTTTCGGAACCAGCAGGAAGAACCAGCAGGCCCTCGGTCGGCTGTCGTAACCCAAACGGAGAAAACCAGCAGACCGTCTGGTTCATTGTCCTAATGAAACAGTATTCATCACTAAAATTTGCCGGCTCATCACTAAAATTCGCCAGTTTATCACTACAATTCGCCAGTTCATCACTACAATTCTCCAGTTCATCACTACAACTCGCCAGCAACCCACGCATTGTGCTCTCTTGTGTTTCAGGAGTCGGGCTTGTGGTTAGCGGCCGCCAGCTCGCCTTGGAAAGCCACCCATCGCTGCATCGTGTTCACTCGCTGAGTCGACTTATTGCCAGAAGGTCGCTGCTGTTCGGCTGAGCGCCGGTGTACCACCAGACCGGCGGCGTCCGCAGCGCACCCCTCTGCCCTCCATGGTGCGCGTCCGCCGTCGTCGGCAATGAAGTCGGCGAAGAGTGACAGCGTGGCGAGCCTGACGGCGGTGCCGGCCCAATACGCGTCCACGCCGCACCTGTTCGTCTTCCAAGCGAACGAGGAGGCGGCCGTGCTGCACAAGCCGGAGCCCATCTACCAGTCGGCCGTGGACGTGCGCGCCGGTCGGCTGGCGGCGGCGCGGCGCATCAGCGAGCGCTACGACTCGTACCGCAGCCTGGCGCGCGACGCTGACGACGACGAGCAGCCGCTGGCCGTCAGCCAGGCTGACGTCGCTCAGGTCGAGTCCTTCTTCGCCGGCCACAAAACGTCGGTGAGTCGCGGCCGGTGCGAGCCATAGCCTGGAGATGGTAGTGACAGTCGGGTGAGAGGAGCAGACGCATCCCAAAGCAGCCGTCACGGTATTTGACATGATATCTAGGAAAGCGATACAGGAAAGAGGGATCAAAGCACTTCCTGTCCAGTTTCTTAATTTCGCTGGCCCTTGACATGCGTTGATGTGAATGGCCAAGGTTCTCGGACGAATGAATGCACTGCTGGGTCGCGTGGCTGTGTTACATGGTCACCACGCGCAGAGCGATGGGCTCAGCCAAATGCCTCGGCGCCATGCTCAGTCTACAGCCAGGTGCCGGTAAAGTGCAATCCGCGTGTGAATGTGTGGACCGGAATTATGCCGATGCCAGTGCTTTTCATTAGATGTGATCACTGGTGAGCTTTGGTTTGGGTGACGGGATGGGAGGGGGGGGGGGGGCTCTATTTTAGCAGGTCGGTGATATAGCACGGGGCCCATGTGATCATGGACTACATGTAAACACAATCGTGATGAACGTTTATCTCTCCAGGTCGTGACCCTTGGTTTAAGTAAGGTAAAGCAAAATCAAACTCCAGTTGAGTGCCCGAAGTGCTGTCAGATTTTTCCACTCAACCAGCTTAACCGACATACGTTTTCCAAGCAAAAAGTCACTCAGGGTCATTTCAGGCCATTAGCGTTATCAGTGTCGAGATCTACCCTGCGCGGTAAGTTCTCCAAAGCAAAATGTTGGTCCAGGTCATTTTAGATCGGTTACTTTTCTTGGCCTTCATAAAATCAGCAAAAAATCTAATAACATCTTGTCCCGGAACTCATAGCGAGCGTCAGAACAACGAAAAGTTTTCCAGCAAAGACATTGTTAGGTTTGACCTAGATCTCATCTTCACATCTCATCCAGGCTCAATGACTTAAGTCGAAACCTTGATTTTAATTGTGTATTGCATAAAATATCATTTTTTAAAGTATCATGTATTTGTCTCAAACCTTCTTGTGCCATCAGCATGGCATATTTACTACAATTTCGTTTTGCTGACAAACTTTTCCTGCTCTGATCTGAACCACTACAGATCGGCAACCTTGAAAGGCAGATATTCTTTGTCCAACAAGATCGGGTATTAAAACTGTCTATAAATATACGAAGTTCGTTGTCACTTTGGCGAACTGTCGGGAGTTTTTACAGAAAAAGCCTTAGGCGGGGCGGGGGAATCGACGTTGCCACACTTGAAGGTGTATCAATCCTCATCCTGATAGGGGAAGGGGTCGATGCGACCCCTCAAGGCTGTAAAGGTTTTTTAGGATACCTCTCCAGCATGCGGTGAAATTGAGCTAAAAAATTCAGTAGCCTATGCGACATCCATTGCACGCGTTTTGACCTCGATATTGAATTAAAATAACTTTTTTTTGGTATTTGGTATTATATTGTGTTTATATGTATATATGTGTATATATGTATATATGTATGTATATATGTACATATATATGTATATATGTATATATATGTATATATGTATATATGTATATATATATATATATATATATATATATATATATATATATATATATATATACGTACTTTTGTAGACACCATTGCGTACTTGAAGACTGATCATTTTAGTTCGAGTAGCTAAAACTCAAATCGTGTTCGAAATTATAGCTTTGAAATATAACGGTGCCGAGCTCAGATTCAGATTCAGTTGCAACTTCGACAGTCTCTTTGGATCAGGCTGAGACTGATCTCCATTTGCTTTTGCTCAAATTCGGTGTCTACTAAGCCCAAGTTGAATTACCACGAGTCTGCTCTTGAGTACTACGCCGAATCAGGAGATGTCTTAGGGATTAGCACGTCTGAGGGGATAGGCACGTGCCATGCGGCGTCGTTTGTACCAATCCCCGCATTACTGCATTCTGGGTAGCGATGCTGTGACATCATCATGCGACTACTACATGACACCAACACTACGGCGGCGTGAAAACGTTGTTCTTTGCCGGCTGTGTTGAACATGGCTTTTTCCAAAGACCGATTTTTTCGACCTAGCACGTTCAATTAAGTATTTTCAGTTGGGAAATGCCGTTGGTTTGCGCCACAGCTACAAAACTATTGCTGAAATGCGCTTCCAACCTGCTCCCGACAGACAGATAGGGTAACCCATTCACCAGTGACTTATCCCGAAGGACTCAAGCTGGAAGTGCGTAGAAACAGTCTGTGCAAGAGATTACAACATGCAAAAACAACAACAACATGGGGTGGGGATGAGATACGGCGGGCCAGACGGGCTCGCAGCACCCTGGGACGCCCATTGAGAAGTTGGCATGCACATCCTGAAGCACTAGGGGGAGCGCTGACAGGGTGAATGCAGGGTTGGCCTGCTCTTTTGGGAATAGTGAGTGGTGAACCCCGGGAGGTTTATGTACTGGACGTGTCATTTCAGGCCAAGATAACAGATTTTCCTGTAAAATAGGACGATTTCTGGCAAGTTTTGCAATTTCTACCAGTCAAAGCGTATGAGTAGTGCCCCATGTCTCAACTCCGACGTATTTTGATAGGGACATAGTAGGGCGGTCGGAGTATTATTCTTTGCACACCAATTTTTTTCTAACCCATCCAACATCATATATCTGCAGGGTAACCAATACTTAGGAATATGACTGCACAGCAACAGCGAAATTCTTGGCACCTGCCTTCCTCACTTTGCCTTTTTTGACATTTCACTTCATATAGGTACTGCAGTAGAAAGACGCATGGCCAATCATTGCTCATTAATGAGTTAAGTGTAAACGTTACATATGATATTTATTTCTTTACATATAAATATTCTTTTTACAAAGCGTATTACGTATAAAAATTCAGGCGCAGTGGATACGACAAATATGGTGCGGGTCCTGGAACTAGAAAACTTGATTTAGTGGAGTCTTTTTTGAAGTAAGATCTTAGTACTGATTTGTGAAGGTTTGAAACGCAAATTGTCATGTCGATTGAAATAACATGAAAATAAAGGTGCAGAACAGTATTGCCATCCCGTTCGTTGGCGAAGTCTCTGTTTTTAACCATGTGGCTATTATCTACCAACCTTTTCTTAGCATCAACCAAAAACGATACTGGGGGCTACCAAACTTAGTCACTTGGTGACGTCACGTCTTCGTAACCTTTTGCTCTAGAAGCCTTGGTTTGTACTAGTATAGCGATGGCACTGTGTTCCAAATGGTCTTCATTCTTGTGCCAGCCATTTATAAGTCGCACTTGCTTCCGCACCCCCTTAGCTCTGCCGTTTCAGGACTTAAGTTGACATCTGCAGGGCTGTGAATGCTCTGCATGTGTTTTCATCTTAGTTGGCTTTACTCGTCAAGTGTTTCCTGGTTACACCGTTAAGTTCCCTTTTCGGGAACTGCGATGAATGGTTTTGATACACTAATTCAATAGCATGGCTTGAAGTATTTTCAATGGAACGAATAACTGAAATTTATGTCTATTGATGGGCATTTGCTAACAGTAGTCAGGCCTGTGGGTCATTTAAATTTTACTACACTTTTGTACTCTCACAGTAACAAATAACTAGCTCCCCATTGAGGTCTTAATGCGTTACAACGTTGAGCAACTACCACCACCCTCACATTAGATGGCGAATTCACTTTCCATATCTTACCAAAGCAACGTTGCTCCAATTGCCAGCGTTGGTGGCATTCGTCAGCTGGGCTGCCCAGCGGACCATCACTGCAGCGCGCTGGGTCCAGCTGCTGGCTGGGCTGAACTAGGTCCGGTTTCGTCGGCCGCGGGGCCTAATTCCACCGCGGCGGCGCGCTTCCCGCAGACTTATCGCTGTGAGTGGCGAGCCGGTCCGATCGGGCTATGCAAATGACTTCCGCAGAAAAAAAATGCGTTTTCATATTTATGTCTGCCACGCAACACATGTGACCACATCATTTAGCGCGTAAGCTGCACGTGTGAGGAATAGCGTATGGCCATGAACCGTCTGCGATAGCATACCACAATGACCTCGCATGAGCGTACCACGCAACAAGACGTAATAAGGCAATTAAATGGTTTGCTCACCTGGAAGCCAACTGATGTGATGAATTCACTATTTCACCCACACATTTGGCTTCGGTGTGCTCACTGCCTCGTATTGCCTTCCTATTTTCACAAGTCCCGCCTTGGCTGACAGGTGGCGAGCCCTCATAGTCGTCGGTGTCACTGGTGAGAACTTGCAAAAGCCCTGACTGCCCTTCACCTAGTTGCCTTTTACAAACCACTCGGTGGAATGATTGGCAACGCTCGCCACCTTCTGCCCAGATGCCTAGATGAACATGATTCTGCTGACCTGTTCCTCCGAGATATAGATTTCAACGTGTTCTCCACCACCATTTCACTGCCCTGAGTGCACCTTAGGTTCCCTTGTGCTGTGATACGCTTAGCTGTGCCCACGATACTGTAACAGGCCCCTTACCATGTGACGAGACAACAAAATGTCACTACCAATGTAATCGTTGTAATCGCCAGGGCCACACGAAGCCAGCCTCATGGTCGCACACCTTGATAAAGTTGCGCTTTTACTTGTATGGTATGGTGACAGAGAGACAGAGAGACATACGTTTTTTTTTGCAGTCGATGTTGTGATGGATCTCAGCTGTCGGCCCTCCAGAATCTGATATATCTGAAACGCAACACATATTGATTCATTGGTCGTTAGCTCACGCCACAATATCCTGTTTGCCGTGCAGTTTGCCATCGGAGCTCGATTGCGAGCTCGTACAGGTAGGCCGTGTAGTGTGCCATTGGAGCTCGATTGCGAGCTTGCACAGGTAGGCCGTGCAGTTTGCCATCGGAGCTCGATTGCGAACTCGTACAGGTAGGCCGTGTAGTGTGCCATTGGAGCTCGATTGCGAGCTTGCACAGGTAGGCCGTGCAGTGTGGCATTGGAGGTCGATTACGAGCTTGCACAGGTAGGCCGTGTGGCTTCCTGTACGGTCTGGTCCGGCAGTCACAGAAGGGCTGATACCGTTGCTAAAGCGGGGATTATTCACGTCTTTGATTAGCACATCTAAAACTGTGCTGATGTTTCTTCAATTGAAGTTCTTGTGCCGAAACGGATCACAGTATACCAGATTTACTACCGTATCGCTCGCACCGATCTAACTTCGGCTAAACAAAGTTTGGCGAAAAGTCACAACACCCGAATCAGCACGGCCAGCGAGCGTGAACGCTGGACGTCCCCAACGCGGGGCAATCCGTTTTTGTGTCCAGCCAGATGGCAATCCTTGGCATGCGCAGCTTTTATTTTCGAGACGTGACTAGCGGATTCAAAAATTGGTCATTGACAATGCGTTTATGTTTGGAGAACGGCTGACAAATCCTCGGTTTCTGATTACCAACAAACTACTTGTACAACATTTGACTATTCTTCTAATTCTTGATTGAGATAGATATCATTCTTAGCTGACCTGTCAGAAATGCCCTTGGCTTTATCTATTCAATCGTTGCTCTGGCCTAGCTTGAGATCACACAGTTGCATTCAAAGCAAATGACAACTTCCTAAAACAGGTTTGTAATGAAAATAAAGCAGATTGGCTGTTATATTCCTGCCGAGTTGTCGTCGCATGTTCAAGCTATCGATGCTGTTCTTTTGTGATGCCATAAATGATTGTTACAGCTGTGTTTCTTTCGTCTTCATGCGTGTATCCGCCAGTCAGCTGTCGGGCTCTGCATGACGCTGTTCATGGTTAGGGGCGGCGCAGCAGGGGGGGGGGGGGGGGGGGGGGCGGCGGAGGAGACAGCTCCTTCTGTCTGCAGGCATGGCGGGAAAAAGTCTGTTGTTGCCGCCTCCAAATCTTTGAAATGCCCGTTCTCCGAAACTAATGGCGTTGCACCCAACAATGGAGAAACTGAGCTAGAGAGTAGTAAATCGGGCCCAGAAGAACTTTTCATAGTTGTTTCTGGATCATGAGGTCACCTTGATGAATACATTAGCTGATGCTATAGATAAGTAGGCCCAACGTTACGCAAAGGACTCTGCTGACTCGGGAGGCCTCGTTACGGACTGGGGTGCCGGTAGTGTAGTGGTTAATGCGTCTGCGTCTGCGTCTGCGTTAACCACTGCGCGTCTGGGAAACCAGAGGTACGGGGTTCGATTCCCCGCGGTGCCCGCCCTTCCTACCAGGGTGAGAGGCAGGCGACGCCTCAGCAGCTAAGTGCGCCATAAAGCCACCAACGACACGCATACACACACTCGTTGCGAACTAGGAGACCCTTGTTCTGGGCTAAGAGACACCCTTTTTATTCAGGAAGCCCCATGTCTAGAACAGGAGGCTCTTTTCATGCGTCGGATGTTCATGGTTCTGGATCAGGAAAGCGCGTTTTGGGATAATGACGCCCGTTGGGATAGATTTCGAGGCCCCCTTTGAGAATCGGGAACATCCCGATATGGATTAGGAGACCCATCTATGCATCAGGAGACCCTTTCCTGGAACAGGTGGCCCTGTTTTAGGAGAGTGGGGTCTTTTGATTGATAAGTAGGAGGTCTCCATTCTGGATATTTTAAGTTGTCGAATTTTGGCATGGATATGATGCATGCAACAGTGTCATAATAGGGGTCATGCCCTCAATGACCTGCTCCCTTGAATACGGCACTGCCCAGGAGACCCCACTGTGAGAAGACCCCATTTGGGCCAGGAAAACCCCTGGAAAATTCTTCCCCCAAATTTCAATCTGTGGCGCCGCCCGTGTCCAAGGTAATGTCTCCGATATTTCAAACCACAACAGCTTTCCTGCTCACCAGACTCCGAAATTATATTCAGCATGCAGCTGGCTTAGTGAAAAGCTGCGTTCGAACCTGAACGCGGGGTCTAAATTTGTACAGACCATTTTGCATTTGTGAGCGCGTATATCCGGAGTGTCTGATAGCTTATTATGCACGATTGAGTAGCGTCCTCCCTCTCGCGTTGATAATCATGGATGCCGCCTAGCACAAGTAGCTGTGTGCCCCTCGCTCGTGTTTGGGCTTTCTCCAGTGTTGCGCGTGACCTTTCGCCGTCGTGGTCATCGGAGCGGCCAGACCGGCCGAGACGTCGGAGCGCTGCCAGCTGCCAGCGATTCGGTCCGTCGTGACCAAGCAGCACTGGCGACCTTGGAACCACCGCTCCGCTGACCAAGCGGGTAACCAATCAGTGCTCTAAACAGTGGGACCGCGCTGAAGTCGAGCTGGCTGAGAGACGGGGCTGCGCAGCGGTAGGTGAGGGAGGGGGGGGGGGGGGGAGGAGGCAGTTTCTCCTCCCATTGGCGGCAGGCAGGGGCCAAAGCTTGTTTTTAACATCCCAATTTTAAGAAAAGTTTGCTAACGAAACCAACGGCTTTATAATTATGCGTAGACAACCTAGATCCAGATGAATGGGGCACCCATAACTGAACAAAGGGATGCTGAATTGGGCGTATAATAATTTATTACTGATAAATTGATGAATTGGGTATTTAATTGTATTGATGATAATGATGAATTAGGTATTGAAAATAGCAATTCAAATTAGGCATGAATTAATGTAATCAGGCCATGCCCTAGGTTATGAGGCCCACTTTTCTGTTCAGCAGTGTACTTTTGCTCGGGAAGACCTTGGTTTGGAATAGGGGGGCTCTGTGGTTGGTTAAGAAGGCCCCGGTATTAAACAGAAGGCTCTATTGTGTATTTGTTAAATTCTTGACATGCATGTACATGGATGCTTATCTGGATTTGCAAGTAACAGCTCGTTAAGAGAGCTTTTAGGTCAACTTTTAAGGCAACTAGCAACTTGGTAAGGGAGCTTGGTAAGGTAAGGTAAGGCAAGCTCACCTTTACCCCTTAAAATTCCCTTAAATATATCACTACCCGGGAGGCCCACTGAGAGAGCCCCTAGGAGAGGTTCCAATTTGTTCAGAATGCCCCCTAAAAACCATGTTCACCACTCGAAGCCCGTAGCGCCACCTCTGCGAAAGATTTTGCTCACTTTCTCGGTAGCACGAGGAAGACAATTCTTAGAGAATTAAGAGACAAACACACGTGTGCAAGGCAGGGTTTGCAGATGATCAGCTATTTCATCAGAATAAGGGATTCACGACGAAGCGGAATGGTGAGGTGGATTCTCTACTTTTGTGAGCACGTGAATCTAGGACCTTGGGCCGACCGCCATGACCACCAAAAGGAGCACAGTCTGGCCTAGTACTCGGCCGTGCTCGTACTGAGCGGTGGCGGGCTGCTATATGTGCGGCTCCACTCCGCACACCGACGCCTTTTAGTGGCGGGAAGATGGCGAAGGGCTGGGCTGAGCCAGGCTCCACAATAACGGCAAGAATCACGGCAAGAAGTTAACATGTTGACACGATACTGATGGCGAATTGGCAGCGTTTTCGGGATTAGCAAGCCATTCCGGGCGCTATTTGTACGTCGTGCAAGGCTTGTGGAGACGACCCAGAGCGGAGTGAAACCAAAACATCTGCTTCGCGGAGCGGCATTTCATCATCGATTCGGACTGTCGCACAGACCCGTGGTATAAACATTCGGCCCAGGTCGCAATAACGCCTACACGACTGTCTGTCCGAAGTGATTCACAGGCAGAGACTACTTATCAAACCTTAGATACAGCATCTTGCATTTCAATGTCGTTCCGAGACGCACCACGGGTTGGAGGGTAGGGGTGGGGGGGGGGGGGGGCCTGTTGTCTTGGAATTGGACTTCTCGTTGTCCTTTGGCGTTGTAAAAACGATGGACTTCGAATGCCACCAACTTCTGAAATTCCCTTCTCTCCTCCGCGATTGCTGGCTTTTCTCCTTATCGCTGTTCAGTGAGGTCGCCCAGATCTGGACAAAGGAGACCTGGGAGGGACTCTGCCGATGCCATGCAGCTTTGGCTGCTCTAGATTATTTATGGGCGCTGTTGCGACAGCCACCGACTCGCTGGCATCTCACCTACAGTGATATCTATGTACACTGTAAGTTACTGCAGAATTTTGGCACATGCCATTGACAATGAGTCATACAATCGTGTTAAGTGACGCACGCCATTCACTGGATGAGTATGCCCGTATGTAATGTGTTATTTGTGAGTATAATCCGCGGTGGCCTAGTATACGCATCGGTGTCGCATTCAAAGCCTGGAAGTCATTCAGCACTTGAGCGACTTGGAATGAGTCTGTTGGCAATGATTACTAGATGACAGCAGTGTTCTAACGGCCATCCCATCGACGCCCGTCGGCAACCTGAGGCTGTGCTCTCGTGGCCCCGATGGTAACCTCTCGTCGCTGCGGGGTCGGCAACCTGAGGCTGTGCTCTCGTGGCCCCGATGGTAACCTCGCGTCGCTGCGGGGTCGGCAACCTGAGGCTGTGTTCTCGTGGGCCCGATGGTAACCTCTCGTCGCTGCGGGGTCGGCAACCTGAGGCTGTGCTCTCGTGGCCCCGATGGTAACCTCGCGTCGCTGCGTGCTCCGCAGGTGATCGTCTGCCGGGCGCTGGCCAACATGTACCTCAGCTCCGAGTCCAACACGTGGGAGCTCAAGTACACCGGCATCCCGACGCTGGTGTCGGACTCTGGCGAGACGCGCAGCCGCTGCCACCGCCAGCTGCAGCTCGTGCTGGCCGAGAAGGGCACCGGCTTCATGCTTTGGCGCGACGTGGTGGATGACCAGTCGGCATATGCAGCGCCCGACCCCAGCTTCCATACCATGCACCTGTCCAGCGACCAGCGCCAGCGCATGGGCCTCAGCTTTGACGACATCGAGGCGGCCAACGCGTTCCGCTCACAGCTGGACGCACTGTGCGCTGGCGCCAAAGGCGACGGCTCGCCGCCGACGCAGAAGAAGCGGAAGAGCAAGCGCGCCGAGCGGCACGCGCGGCCGCGCAAGGAGGACATCTCGCAGCCCTGCTGCTTTCAGCATGTGACGAGCGTCAGTCTGCAGGATATGGACCGGTTCTACACCCTGCAGAGTCTGGTCGGCAGTCGGGCCACGTGACCGGTGTAAGCACGCGACCGGTTCTACACCCACGCGGGCATGGGCGGCGGGCGGTCACTTGACTAGCCTGAACGTGGACTGTCTGCGTCAGCAGCTGAGTCACGTGCGCGGGTTAAACACGTGGACAGACGTGAACGTGATCACACCAAAACGCTGCAGAGCCAGGACGGTCATAGCGTCATGTGACCCGTATCCGGACTTGGGCCCCTTCAGATCCCTGCACCGTGCGCCGTCGGCAGCAGTCACGTGACCGCAGTGTGAGGCGGGTGAACGTCGGGTGGCGTGAGAAGGCGGGGGTGGCGGCCGGCGACAGGGCGCGTGCCTCGGTGCCGCCGCGGCGCGCGAGACGGCCCGTCAGCGGCCGTCGCGAGGAAACGGCTGCGTGCTGCGCAGCGCCGAGCGTCGTGGCGTTCAAGGGCGCGCCGGCCGGCTGTGAGTGGCTGCCGGCTCGACTAGCTGCGGCAGCTGACCTTGAGGACCGTACCACAAGAGCGGAGGTCACTGGGTAGGACGGCGGCATCGAGGTAGCCCGGCCGTATGCGGGTCGCCGGTCGGTGCGGACCAGACGAGTGATGTCAGGGCCGCATTTCCCATCGGCAAAGTGCTACCCCGGTTGTGCTGCCCACAAAGTGCTACCGAAGTGCTACCCACAAAGTGCTACCTGGGTTGGTACCTATGAAGCCGCGAGCACCCACGTCATACACAAGCGACTATCCTCCAAGCCGTAGGAACTGATGTGACGCACTTACCTCTGACGCCATGGGTTGCACCATGTGGACGATGTTTGGTGATAGGGAACGCGGCCCAGGTATCTTTGTTTGGGCATATGAAGACTGGTGCGTACACGGTCCGCCCTCATGACAGCGTGGAGGAATGGCGACGGCACAGGACGGGAGAAATACTTACTAGTCAAACGGCAGAAGTGTTTCTGGTAAGCCAACGTAGACGCGAGTGCTGGAGTGGGTGATACACAGAAAGGCTGGGTAGCCACCCAACGTGTTGTCTATTGTTTACTCGTGCTGCTTTATGTTGGACTGGGGCACACCGTTATCATTCCGTGTGTTGTTACATTGCTCAACTGGAAAATAAAGCTGCGTGACCAAATATGAAACTGACGGGTACGAAACGACATTATCAGGGCATTGCAGGCATTCCCACCCTAACATTATTCGAATCATTGATCACAGCTTGCTTTGAAATCAGACGTCGGCCGGAGGGACAGCAATAATTACGATCTGATCGCCTTTCCCTCGTTGGCAAACTTGAATCCTATTGCGCTCAACTGTGACCTGGTTGAAGAGAATTCAGTAACAGTCGCGGCAGCCCACTGTTTTTAATCCAGCAACAGTCGCGGCAGTCCACTGTTTTTAATCCTGCTTAAAGGGAATGTTCCACAGCTGAAGAAAGTGAAGCAAGCATCTGACCTGGCCACCAGATAGCAGCCCTATCGAGTGCACGCCACCGGTGCATCCGCCAGCAATGTAAATGTTGCATGGACAGACATGACCTTTTCCAAATCACACCTCGACAGCGCAGAGCTAAGGGTAGCGTGCCTTCACATAGTGTCATGGCCGTTATTCGGCGGCCCGGATGAATGCTTATACTGAAACTAGAAGATGATGACTTGAAGCATTCCATACGACTAGCATGTGACCATCAGGTGCTCGCACAACACAATCGCCGATATTTTCTTAACTTTTTTGGACGATACCTCACAGCGTATCACTCAATGCTCCCGGGCCGACCTCAGCGGTAATTTGCACAGGTACGGCGCCCAATTGGAAATACTTCTACTTTTGTCCAGAACATTCAATCTTGCCGAAGCAGTCGTATTGTGGGAGCACTATGCGCCGCCGATGTCAAACTTGTACCGGCAAACGTGATCTCTGCTGTTCAAATTACCCCTTACAGCGCAGAGCGGACTGCGGCTTGCATGCAAATAGAATGGTGGCCATAATACGACGGCCTGACAACAAAACTTCCCATAAAACTGGAATACCATGACTTATTGCATTGGATAGGGCAAATATATGATTATCATCCACCAGCACAACGCCTCGCCCGATTTTTTCTCGATTTTTTTTCCGGATGATCACCCGACAGGCTATCACTCATTGGTCACGGGCCGTCTGCGGGGGTGATTTACACCGATATGGCGTCCAATTGGAATTAATTTGACTTGTTCGCGGTGCGACCTTGCCGTCACAGTGTTATTGTGAAAGCGCCACCAGCTGGCAATGTCAATCTTGCATCGGTAGAGAGTGAAGAAAAGCTACCGATGTACACGATCTGACCCAGGACAAAAGTGGACGCTTTCGCGAACTATTTTGTGGCATAATTGCAAAACACAGATCAAAATACAACAGACCATCGGAACTAGACGAAACTCAAAGCTGAATATTGGTCTATGCTCGCTCACGCTTGCAACGTGAGCTGTGCGGAGTATTTGTCCAAATTTTGACTACGCTGGGTGATGAAGTTGAGCAACAATATGCTTACAAACACAGTAGCTTTAATCAGGATGTTTTTTGGCTAGTGACGAGTATACTTCAAACTACACTATATCAGTGCTGACGTCACAGGTCAGCGATGGCACAGCGCTTTTCCAACGTCCCTCAGATCAGTGATTTTTACATTTTTCGGCTAAGATTCACTTCGCATGCTGAGTTGTATAAGACACCAACTAAGAAGCCTTATTACGAGTCGTAAGAATCGTGACTGGCCACGGCACCTCGGGACAAACGTAATCAGTCTGCTACGCGGCGTTTTAAATCGTCGTGCCATTTGAAGCAGCTGGCTTCGAATGTTCGCTACGCGGCTGCGGTTTGGGTTTACTGCGTTCAGTGCAAGGCTGCACGCTGCCATTGGATGTGTTCGTGCCGTAAGAAGCTCACCGGCTTGAAGGACGTAGCTAAACGCCACTTCCTTTAACGCTGAATGGTTCTTCTAAAGATCTACCATCGATGGCGGCCCCGGGGGCGCAGTAAGAAAGCCCTGCCGATCAAGGAAGTTCGTTGTTTGTGGATCCCCGAACTGCACGTTGTGCGGTTAACGGCGGACATTACAGCAACACATGTCAAGTATCTATCTGGAGCTTCCTTTGCCGAGAGGAACAGCGGCTTAGGGGTAAGAGACCATGCACCGCCAGCGCAGACCTAGCGCCCTGCCTGCCGCGCCGCTGACTTAGCGAACTGACCGCCCTGCCTGCCGCACCGCTGACTTAGCGAACTGACCGCCCCGCCTGCCGCACCGCTGACTTGGCGAACTGACCGCCCTGCCTGCCGCACCGCTGACTTAGCGAACTGACCGCCCTGCCTGCCGCACCGCTGACTTAGCGAACTGACCGGCTGACAGGTGTGGGATAAAACGCGTTTTATTTTCATCATATAATATATCGAGGTAAATGAAGATAACAAAGGTGTTTAAAAATGCATTGCACATCTTCTGATATCAATATTATATGAGTTTTGCTCTAGATTCTGTTGACTGGGATCCTAAAGCGATATGGCGAACCAGATCTAGCGAACTGGTCAGTTCACCAGATCAGCGTCGCGGCAGGCGGTAGTGATCGCAGCCATTACCTAGGGGCGAAATTTCCCAGGATAATAAATTACGATGTTTTATAAGATCTCTACACTTTTGCTTCAGAGTACCATGCATCATCTTCCCATACTGTCGCGTAATAATTAAAGCAGAACGATATTGGCACCTCGCTTGTTAGCATCCACTACATCGCATCCACCGTATCGCTTATTAGCATCCACTAACCAGGCGCCGTTGCGACCACGCAATGACAACGCTCAATGATAGCGTAATAGCTTTGGTTTTGTTTTTCACCTTGGTAACAATGGCGTCATTTACCAAACAAGGCCAACAATTTTTCGGGAGTTAACCTAAACTAAACTGACCGAACCTAACCTAAACTGAGGCGTTTCACGATAAATCGACACGTGCCCTACGCCCTCATCCCTGGATTTCGATTAAATTTGGTATCGGGGTTTTCGTTAGGGCTGAAGTCGCCTGTAGTGTCTTTAAAGCTCTCAGTTGCATCGTTTCGGAGATAAAGCCTACGGCAATTTTGAGTTGCGTGGTTCCAAGGCTGCTTCGGCTCCACCACTCGCTTGAAATATAGCCTGACAAACTTGTACCTTAAAATGGCCAAAGAGCTGACCAAAATATTTGCATGCCACTCTTGAGGGCAGCATTTCACAAAAGTTCGTGATCGGGGCGCTACGAACTTTTGCAAGGCACAAATTATAATTTTTGTGATATCGATCTGTTCCTCACTTGCCTGTTAACGGGCGTAGTTCGGTCCCAGGATTCCATGAAGGTGGCTGTCCGCCTGGAAAGGCATGGTCAATGCACATGCGCCGAGGAATCATACGTAACGCACGAAGACTGGTCGCGCGGCCGGCTCTCCCCCCCCCGCCCCCCTCCCCCCTCCCGACGGGATGAGGAAGGTGAGCGCGTACTGCCGGGGCAGAGATGTCTCTTGTTTATGTGGGGTGACTCAGAAGTCTGACGAAGGCCCATTGTTGGGGTCTTGGGTAGTTGCCTGTTGTGCGGCTGGAGCGCGTGGATATGTTGGTAGTATGCCTGATGACAGTGGAACGCTTAAACCACCCCAGCTGTACCGATCCGTTTGGGAAGCGCAGAGAGCACGAGAGCACAGTGAGGTTTAACAACTGCGTTAAAATAACTGAAAAATCGTGTCCAGGATCCCCGGATAGTCTTAATTAGGACTTTTGTGTTGCAACTGTCGCACCAAACATACTTAATTAAGCCTATAGGTCTTAGAGGGCAGTCAGGTAGCGCTGTAAATCTTGCATTGGCAGACATAACCTCCATTGTTCAAATCATTCCGTGAAAGCGCAGAGGTGATGGCGGTCTGCCTGCACATGGTGTCATTGCCATACTATGGCGTCATGGAAAATATTCAAATTTTAAGGGGAATGCTCCACATATGAAGATGATAAAGCGAACGTGAAATATGGCGAAACAAGCTAACTTGTAGCTATTGGTATAGTTTTAATTGGAAAAGGCTGCTCTACACAACGCAGTTTCTCTGTTTACTAAATGTGCCCCTTAACACGCACTCGGGTGAGAGGGGGTCAAATTGACCTCCCAAAGATTTTTCCAGAATGGTTTCCGAACGGCGCGACGTAGCCGCGCCAAATTTTGCTTAGCTGTAGAAAATTGAATAGCGGATTGTTTGACATCAACAATTTAGATGAACCTTGTAAGGTCGCTGAGCTATGGCAGGTCAAAGTCAGGCAATGGTTTCAGCGAAGGCAATTTCTAGGGAATCGTTCAATCTGATACAATAATGGAGGGTTCGACGAAGCCACACACCCTGAGATGCCTTCTTAGGCACCACAAATACTGAATGAAGAAATTAAGTAGACCTAAGGTTAGGTATGAAGGTCAGACCAAGGTCACAACCAACCTGATTTATTACTCTAGGGCTTGCTGCATGGGATAGTTTGTGACGCTCATTTCGAATTTATCGACAGCAGGAACCGCATTCTACATCTTCCATTGACTTCTTAGAGTTCAGAAAAGGTCATTGACCTAAGATGACCTGGGTTGACAATTTGTTTTAGGAACATACTGCCTAGCGTAATCTTTGTCGCTTTGAAATGCAAAACTCACAGCAGTCTTGTATGATTTTGGTCGTCATGACCTTCAAAAGGTCAAGAAAGGTCACTGACCTCAACGTGCTTTTGGCCTTTTGCTTACAAACAGTTACCTGGGTTCTGGGGCACTTAAATCTGGAATTTGACCTTGTTTGGCCTTATTCGACCTGAAGGCCATAACCTAGGAAGCTCAAACTTTGACCTAGGTGAGTTCACGTACAGGTCAAGACACCCTGTCACTTTGGTGTCTCTAGTTTTCTTAGTTTCCGAGATCTCAGCGGGG